GCGGTTGGAAGAGGAGGAGGGGAGGCCAAGTGATGACTTGTTCGGGAGAAATGGAAACCCTCACTTCGAAGTTGGCGTCGGTTGGTGCATCCCGATTGCCTGGCTGGGGCCCTAAGGACGGTGAAAACGTTGGGTTGGACACACTCGCTGATATGGCTTGGAGCAGGCCCCAATGGCGTTCGTGTTGTGAGTTCCTTTGTCCATCCCCTCCTGCTTAGCCTTCCCCTCCAATCACGATCTCATTCGCTAGGCATAATATAACTCTCTTTTTACGGCACGATAGCCAGTTGTTAGCTCTCCGGAACGATGTCCATCCGTTACTGGGGACTCAGCCGGCGTGCCACCGCTTGTTTTCCTTTTCTTGTCTTTTGTATTGCGGCACAATAGCTGAAGTGTTTTCCACCTGCAGCTACCGTGTATAATGACGTGTAATGAAAAAGAACATAACTACACATTTGACCGGAATAGTGCGTAACAACATAAACTACGATATCTCAGCGGAATAATTAGAATTTATCAGATAAGGTTAAACAACAGAAAAGCACTGGTAGAGACATATCATGCATTTCTAATAGTTCCATCTGCAGACTTCCGTATGTTTTGGCGATATCAAACGTGAAGGGTGCTGAGAATAAAAGAGATTGGTGTTCACAAGATGAGAAATCACGAAATCTTTATTTTGCCAACAATTCCAGGTGACTGTAGATTCAGTAATGGCAGTGTCATTCAGCTGTTTGCAGTAAGGAAAATGAACCAAATTGTTTTTTGACAACTGACTACCATAAACTTAGTTTTGTAACGAAGCACTTGATGTCATCATACATCTGAGTAATGAGTTTGTTTTCGTCTGCTAAATTTAAATTAAGATCAGTTAAGTGGGCAGTAATGTCCACAGCGAATGCCAGGTCCTGGAGCCAAATTGCATCTATTATGTGATCTGTGTTTTGACCTTTCATATCCAAAAATATCATTTTTTGTCTCAACATATAGAACCTCATTAACACCGTGACAAAATAACCAGCGGACATCTGTGTAGAGTGGAACATCGGCAAACTGATTATCCATGTCTTCCAACAACTGGTTGAATTTGGAGGAGCGATTCTTAAGTACGGATTTCGGAATAAACGTCCCGTCATGCTCAGATATCAAAAGAAAGTGAAAGCATGTATTCCCATGGTTGTATTTCAATGCTCCCACAAATTAAGCACGGAAGAACAGAGGAAGTCTAGTAGTGCGGTTGCTCTTTAGATGGTAGGCTGTTCAAAATTCGATGACCAATGGTAAGTTGGATGGAGCTTTCAAATGATGGTCAATATAGCTGGTGAATCGTCAGCTGATTAAGGGTAATATTATAGCAAAGCTTACGTGGCAAAAGGTGGAAAGGAGTCCTACAAATTGACATAGTTCACTGTCTTTGTGACCAAAGTGAGTGCATGACCTAAGTTCAAAATCCCTGGACACATTTTGCTGATGAATAATGCAGTGAAAATGTGCATTTAATGAATCTGGGTGCGACTGTTCAATTTATGTACGCAACATGGCAGCAACGCCACTACGTCTACCAACCATATCCGCAGTACCGTCGGCTGACGAGCATGAAGTTAACTCAAATACAATTCGTAGCCACGAAGGAACTGCTCCACTTTCTGAAAGATGTCCCGGTTTGTTGAAGTGTCATGCATTGTAATCAGTTCAATCAGCTCTTCATGAACATTACATTCGCTTTAACGCCCAGATGAAATCTGCAAGATGGGCTATTCCAGTGATGACAATGATCTCATTAATACCAAAGGAAAAATGTTCAAAACCGGATGATGTGGCTTTCAGCTGCTGTTTCAAACCAACGGACATTCATAACATGCAAGACAGTGGAGGATGAGCCGAGCTATATCGCAGTTAGATATCAGTCATGGCGGTCCGCTGCCGTCGCCCATGGCTCGGTGACATAAGTCGCTGACTCGCAAGAGTAAGGACGTGGGTTCCAGTCCGACAGGATTCGGCAGGTGTGCGTTACTGACGAGTCCCAATAGGACGAACTGGCCGTCTAGCGCATTCCTGAATGTGTGGTGACTGTCTGCTTGCGACGAATTTATACAAAACTAAATAAAGACCCTACTACTCACAAAGTTCATCAATTCGTTCGGAAACAGTGTTCTTGTTTAACGAAATATCATTGAATAAGTGTGCTTTCTCTGGATACACAACTTCAGTCGTTTTTACAAAGCAGTGCTACATGAACTCTCCTTCACTGCAAGAGTTCCCACTCAGAGCAATCATTTGGCTGAATTCATGGATTGCAGCAACGAAACGCACATCCTCCTACCCAGTTTTGTAAAACAGGTCTGTTGTTATCTCAAGTTACCCCTCATTACTTTGAGTTTGGGACACGCATTACGCCTTCATTGTATCATAAGGTCGATGGTTTGTTTCATGTCTTCTCAAGTTGTACTCTTTCGGCGTGGTAATGTTGTTGCAAAAAACGCAATGTATCTTTCCATCAACCGCTGTTATAAGATACCGTAATTCCCATTTTTCTTGAAACAATGGACCTTCGTTCACTGTCCTTTTTCTCTTAGCTGGGATAGCACTGGCCATCATAAAGATTCTGTGGAATCTGAACTGTGTTCATCATATTGTCAGGAAACCATCCCATTCACTTTATCATAAACAGTAACAAAAGTTGTGAAAGAGAAAGAGGGTGATATCAGTTCGCGTGAAATCATTGCAGTCACACACATAATTGGTATACACCTAGCAATGCGTGCACGGCCGACAACCAATAAAATCCCCGAAGGACAGGCATGATCGGGACATGCTTACTGATGTAACCAATAAAGTCCCAGAGGGAAGCCTTGATCAGGACGTTTACGGCACAGATGTGGAATGTGAAAAGACATATATTTTTAAGTCTTAACTTGTATGCCTCGCAGTTGTATTCCAGTTTATGTTGTGCTTTTGAAATCGATTAAGACGTGAGTGGCTATTTCAAAGTGGAAAAGACATCTTGAATAAAGAACAGTATGCCATTTTGCTGTGGAGGACACAATTTATCCAGTTTAACTTATAAAAACTAATTTTGGCCGTTTAATGACCAAATTACAGTGCACTTTGTGCGGGTTACAGGAGTGCTTGCAAAGGGCCGCATGCAGCCCGCGGCCTTCGGGTTTTACACCCCTGGTGTAGTACATATGGTCGCAAGTGCCGGAGCCAGGCCGCCTTCGAAAGTCACCAGTGTGGCCCCCTGAGGCCAACATCTAAGGGAAGACGAGTGAAGTGAATATATGATCCTCATCAGCGTAGCGTCTGGTATGTACACTACTTTCGATTCCACTACACTTAGGAACCCAGGCCAATAAGATGGTCGATGTGGCAAGTATGCTACATCAGTACTGAAGTTGATCTGTACGGGTGCCTATATGTGGAGATACTTGCATTTCAGGTGTTGGCTGTTGAGTGGCATTCCCGGTGTGCCTTCGCTAGATGTGAGTGCTGACAACGCACCTAGCTGTCCAGTAGTCTCCAGTTCGGTTAATGGCTCCAGGAGACTCCTCCTGACGGTGATAATCTCAGATAGTGTTTCCATGCATCCAAGGTGGAACGGGTTATGGCCTAGACACCACTTTGTGCACGTCTGGTACGCATGATTAACCCAGTAGACTGACTGGAATGCTGCTGCTATGCACGCTGAAGAAGCATGGACCCGCTCTGCTGATGAACCGTTGCTCTCATGCACATTCCTACCGGTCTTATTCCTTCGGGTCTAAACTGAGGAACGAAGGTGTAATACAGTAAAAATGTCAAAAAAGGTGAACACATTCTTAACATTTTTCGCATGCCATTTTGCTCTTTTTCGTCCCCTTTGATTGATATGGCTCCAATCATATTGTTCAAAGCATTTAAATAAACAGTTTTTCCATTGGTGCCGGTTTCGCGCCATATGAGCAAGTGTGTCAAGCCATTGGAAATCCTCATCATTGGACCCCAAACGAGGAACAGGTACAAGGCCGACGATGGCTAGACAGAAGGCCAGCGATTTCATGATTTACCGTCAAGAGGTTGGCTGACCACCACGAGTTCCCTTTCATTTCAATTCCGTATGAGCAAACAAGGCGCGGCGTGGTAAGCGCTCGCATGACATGCGTAGGACGTGGCCAAGCTACCACAATAGACACATTGCAACAAGGCGATTAAATGGAAGGCTCATGTCTCCCAGAACGCGACGCCGGAGTTCATCGCTGCGAACCCGGAGTGCAGCCACGACAAACGGGCTATTTTCCGTAAGCATGTGTTGTCAAAGACCGAAAGCCTACACATGTCGTCCAAACGAACTGGCTAAAACTCACTTCCGTACAACGGGACCGCAGCGACACAAGCGTTGTAGAGGGACATATCCCGACGACGTCACGAATGACTCAGGTTGGTAAATGCCGACTGGGCTTTGGCGATGCGAAGAGATATCTCTGGCCCGATCGAGTATTGATTTTTACTCAGTTGGATGGTGTGAAGACTCCGTCATTGACCTGATTATTGGCGATAATTGACTTGCTGTAAACTGATCTTACCCCGTTTTAACGACTCAGTAGTCCGTCTAATCGATGTAATTGGTATATAATTGTACTACTCTGATGAAGAATTATCGAAAACATATGTTCGCTAACACTGACTTTAGATATCGCTTTCCCAATAGTGCCATCAACAGAAATACAGCTTCCGGGGTAGACAAAGTTGTCCACCGGCTGTAGCAATGTTCCTCTAAAGTTAAGTGTGGGGGCAGACGACTCCCAGTGTTGGAGTAGCACTTTACACTTCAGGGAAGAAAAGCGCATGCCAAACTTAGACACTTCAATCGCCAGAAGGTTCAAAAGGAGCACAGCGATATCATCAGCACAATCTAAGTCGGTCAGGCAATAACCATGGAAAAAGCTCGAAACCAGGATTTTTCGAGCTCGAAAGACAAATAAGGCGAAAAGTAACGTGGAAGAATTGGTGCACCGACGTACCTGTTAATCCTCGGGAATCGTAAGGAGGCAATAACTGATGAGGCGATCACAGTGGCCCCGAAGAAGAAGGATAGACACTAAAATAAAAATAGATTAGGTAGCCGCTTACAATCACGTGAAAAAACTAAAGGTAAAAAGCGTTGGTTGCCTAAGGATTACTATTGTTTTAAAGCCATAGTGCACATTAGCTAGCCTGCAATAGATGAAAAGGAGAAAGGACAAGAACGGCAGCCATCGTTTACTTAGCCAAAGAAAAAGTAAGAGGGTAAATTACAACGTGGACTAGTTAGCAGTTGACAAATGATTCAGAACAGCTGTCAAACAACGCACGATAAATACAACCGAAAGCGAACTTTAAACGCCACTGTCACTCAGTTCCAAATATAAGATGTAACTATCCAGAGTGAGGTGGTAATAGAGAAATAGCGATAGTCACATACGAGAACGCTTAATAAAAGGTATCGCAAAGAATAGGATGAAAAAGAATTGGAAGAAGCGTAGCATAGAAAGGTTATGAAAGAGCGAGGCAACGATAGCGTGAGTTGGCTATACAAGTCATTCACATGATACGCGTAGCCATCTGCAATAAAGGGTAGTCAGAGGAAACAAGATGGACATTTTGTCACGCATCCTGATATCAGATGTTAGCAACTGGAGAGCAAAAACTACGGTGGGACAATGTCACAGATATATTAGGAGGGTCACACTCTGCGGACTGAAGCTGCACTCCAAAAAGACAGGTAGAACAATTGCTAATTTCGAGCATCAAGTTGAAGAACAGAGGTAGAGTGGCCCTAATGCGCCGCACTTGTTGTGAAGAACTCCAAAGAGAGCCACCTGATAGTTCTCACACAGCTGTGGAGGTCACGATACATAGAGATTAAATTAGGAATTAGTTGCATTGCTTCGCTCTTGAGAGAATCCACTAATTGAATGGATTGTGAAACGTGATCTCAATCTGTACTATGTGACGACATAACCTGTTTACACTACTATACTCCATTATCGGTTGAGCTCTTGTTAGGGTTCGCAAAGTAAGAGATAACCGTCGAAATTGTGGACACTGTTTGCATAAATACACCACTGAGCTCAAAGGTAACGTTAGGAAATGTATACCAGTTTGTGACCATCCATTGTGTGAATGAACTCCGACAAGATATCTTAATATGTCTCACCTGATAATGGGAGCTACGTGGAGAGGATGTGCGGGACTGTAGCCAGAGAGTAGCCAAAACACACATAAATGCGAAAATGTTGATCAGGATCCATGATAATTCCAACGGTTGGGTATGCTTTAGAGCCCATAAATCCACATGCCGAAGCAAGATCAAGATGGCACACGATAATGAGATAAAAGCCAATTGCTTGTGAAGAACTAAAAACGGAGGACAGAAAAGAAGTAAAATGTGCGAGTTCAAAACAGACTGTTGTAACGTTTCCAAAGCGGGGGAAAACATTGGTCAAGGTTAGCAGTGATTTTACGAGTCATTTGCGAGTGTACAAGCGACAACCAAGACGATGGCTCGTAAAAGGTATGCAGCTGTCTATGTATAACCCACAGACTGTTGAATAGATATATACATGTATATGGTTCGCGGCATCCGGTTTCGGATTTGCCTGTCACTGTGGTAAGCCACAGGACGCCTACGCCTACAGAGAGACCATGGGTGGCTTGCGTGGCACCACCCACAGCTCTAACCTCACACCCCATATCCAGTGTAAACCCGAAGGAATAAGACCGGGAGGCATGCGGATGGGAACCACGTTTCATCAACGGAGCCGGCCCACACTCCTTCACAGGGAAACACAAGGACACTATACTTGAGGAATCAGGCTCACACAAGGCGGTGTCTGGATCGCAGTCCGCTCCACACTGAGTGCATGGAACCACTCTTCGGGCCTAGCACGACCACAAGCACCGTGCACCCTGTCCCCTGCAGCAACGACCAACTGTCTCCTGGAGCCAGATGGACGAGGTAGCGGGTAATAGACAGGTAGACACCTTGTCCACCTGCACATCAAGCGTAACCACACCAGGGATATCAAGCAACAGCCAATCACTTGAAATAACTATCAAAAAAGTATATATGTTAAAGCATACGGCCATGCAGACATAACTATTCGCTAAATTAGCATATAAAGTAAGTTGGTCAGCAACGAATAAGCGACAAGTAAAATGTCCACAAGTTGCTAGAGATATGCTACAAATGCAATAAAGTTAACTAAGATAAGCGCAATTAGCGTAAGCAACGTGTGCAAGTTAATAGAAGATTATTCAGGTAGGCAGAACAAGCCAATTAAAGTGGAATGAAATTCATCCAGCCTAAAAAGACCTAGTTTAAGTGTAAGTTGGTTTCGCCCAACTGCGGTGAAGAAACATCATGAATGCAGCATCAGCCTCAGCATGGGGCACAATACATATGGTTGGCGGCACCCGGTTTCGGATTTGCCTGTCACTGTGGCAAGCCACAGGACGCCTGCGCCTACAGAGGGACCATGGGTGGCTTGCGTTGCACCACCCACACACCCCATAGTCAGTGTAAACTCGAAAGAATAAGACCGGGAGGCATGCGGATGGGAGCCACGTTTCATCAACGGAGCCGGTCCACACTCCTTCACAGGCAAACACAAGCACATATATATATATATATATATATATATATATATATATATATATATATATATGAACAGCAGTACCTCAACCATTTCAACTGATCCCTCGCTGACAGACAACCATAATGGCCAACGGAACGAAGAATAATACCGTTGGAGGGAGCGAAGGGGGAATTACCGGAAAGCCTTAATGCCCTAAGCAAACATTCAGGGTCAAAGCGCCTACCCATTGTCAACAGCATACCGTCACAAACAGCCGGCCACCATGCAAATATAAGGCGGCATCGGCGAGACAGCTTCCTTGCGACTTTCACTGATCCGCTTCATAGTCAGCCACCTGGCAAGGGCTGTTTGCTCCAAACACTCGCTCTCGAATTTCTGCGTCACTCAAGTGATGCTGCTACCACACGGAAGCAATCCTACGTAGACAACGATTGTCGAAAACTGAAGATCCTTTTATGTCTTCCGTGCTAGTCGGACAGGTCTCACAGCCGTACAAAAGAATCCCTCGGACAGGCGCAATATGTATTCTGCCCTTGAGTTTGAGACTTAGGTCGTGACGGCGCCATAGGTGTCTCAATCTGTTGAATGCAAAGCGGGCCTTTGCGATCCGTTGTGAGGCCTCATCTCCAATACAGCCACCAGCGGTGATGTAACTCCCTAGATAACTGGAACAGCGAACTTGTTCCAGGACATCCCCAGCAATGGTGATGGCATGTTACGGGCATCTGCCAATCATGGAGCAGTATTTTACAATTGCCTGGTGTGAAACACAGTCCATACTTAGATGCATCGGTTGCTATGCGGTTCAAAGCGCTCCGGACGGCTTGTGGATCGTCACCAAGCGAATCGATATCATCGGAGTAGTCCAAGTCCGTAACTCAGTCACCTTGTGAATGCACAATACCGCAGTTTTGAAGACCTTTCAACGATCGTCAGATGACATCTTCGATGGCAAAGTTGAAGAGTAAAGGTGAGATGGGGCAACCTTGGCGCATGCCGTCGGTGACAGCAAACGATGTGGAAAGCGGGCCGTAAGCCGTGACTTTGCCCGACGTGTGACTGTAGAGATCCTTCAGGATGGTTACAAACTTGTCGGGGACACCTTTCCTTAGTAGACAGTTCCGCAACGCAAATCTGTCTACTAAGTCAAAAGCCGCTCGAAAGTCCAAGAACACTACAATCGTTGGCTGTCGGTGGGCGTGACGGAGTTCAAGAAGTTGGCGGAGTTTGAAGATGTGGTCAATGCAACCTCGACCTGGACAGAAACCCGCTTGTTCCTCTCGGGAAACACTCTCTAGTCGCGGAGAGTCTGCGGAATAGAACGATCACGAAAATCTTGGAGGCTACAGAGATCAACGAAATTCCACGGTAATTGGAGCAATCTTCGTGGTACCCTTTCTAGTGAATCGAGACAATGACCGATTATCCCCATGCAATTGGGAATTTCTCGTCGGCCCAAATTCTCGTGAACAGTAATAGCATTTCGTTGACAAGTGCATTCCCGCCATTTTTGAGTAGAGCGGGGTGTAGGCTGTCAGGACCGTGAGACTTATGGCGCTTCGGATTTTTGTTCGGTAAGAGGATCTGTGGCAACAGACCAAGCACCATCTGAGAGAAACGGAAGTGTCACAGTGGGCTGTGCTGAGCAGTTAAATTGGAAAGCAAAGTGCCCTGCCCAGCGACCCAAGCGCCTGTGCAGGTTGGTGATCTTCGTGCAGTCTGACTGACAAATCGTCTGATTGACAGCGTGTGGATCGCAACCAGTGGTCTTGGTGAGGTAAGATAAACTGCAGAAGTTTCCAGGCGATGCAGCGGTTTCCATCACAGTAGCTTGTTTTGACTACCAGGATTCACGGTCGGAGCGAAGGTTTGACTTCAGCCGTTGAGAGACAGACCGACGAAGTTCATTGTGCTCCACAACGGCGGGCACAACCCGTTGACGACACAGCAATTCCGAGGATCTTACCGAAATCCAGCTTCTGGTTGTGCAGCGACTGAGTCCGCAGCTGGACAAGTCTCCGGATACCATTGCTTGTTGCAAGTTGGACCAGTGTTGATCAGCATCCAGAGAAGGGGACAGAGCGAGATTTTCGCGAGGCCTTTGTTGATACTGCGTTTTCACCGTTGGGTCCTCCAATTTATGAGTGTTGAGTCGGGTTTGCTTGGCCCTGGGTGAACCGCCGAAACGCATGCAAAGCATCGCACACACCATTGCGTGATCGGTGTCAACACAAGTTGACCAAAATGACCGACAATCGCGTACGCTACCGCGCTACCTGCGACTTATGGCTGTAATCAATTTATGACCAGCGCTGGGTTGACGATGGAGAACGCTAGGTGGCATCGAAATGGTGTGCGACATTTGGATAAACACTTCGCAACAGAACCGCTTAATATATTTATTGGTAAACACTATAAAAAAAATTCCGCTGATAGTTTATCAAAAGAATATCCCTGAACTATCTGGTGCTGGTAATGGCGTGAATAACACAAGTCTATGCCACGTTGTTGCAGTCTTTTATGGTCATCAAACTGATGTTGAAAGTTTTCAATCAGAGTGAATTCGAAACCGTGACAACCAGGTACTCGCCGTGACTCGATGAGTACAACGGTATTAAGGCGTGGTTGGAGTACAAGTAAGTCGTCTCCAACGATCGACAGTCTCACACTGACGACAGCCAACAGTAGCTACTATCGATTGGAGCAATATGAAGCTGGAGTGTCAGTTCATTCAGTAAACGTTAAATAGTGAGGTGTAGAAGATGTGGGCGCTGCGCACTGGGAGAAATCGATCACAACTGCCAGCGCAACAAGCATCAGTTCCGAAAGGATCTCCAAACCGCCGTACACTACCGACAAGCTGTGAACTTCGGCATTAATGACGTCAACAGTAATGACAATATCTGTATTTCCGGTGAGTTAGGTTTGTAAAATAAATTCTGCGGTGATTTCCTAGGAGATGCAGACAGTAAGAGCTTATGTCTAGAAGTAAGATCATCTAGTAGCTTTGATGGAGATGTAAAGATGAACTGGATACGCGATTGTTCCGTTCATCAGATGGCCTTTAGTGTCTCCGTACATGACAATCTCCAACATCGCAGTCACCGAGACAATTGGATCGACACCGTCACATACATAAAAAACAAAGTTATCGTCACCAGAGTTCGAATCCAGCAGTCTAAAGTGTGTTGCGACGCTACGGAATTGTATGGATGTCTAAGCAACAGTGCGAGTAGAACAGTGTGAAGGCTAGCTCTATCTGCTGACCGATCTGAAAACGACAGCAGAAAAAGAAAAAAACTAAAAGCCGAAAAGCATTGTAGATCTGAAAGACGAATTACAATACAATGAATCTCTCTTCACACATTTTCTTGATGCTCTGGCAACCGCAGAGGATAATCAACGGTGTCCGATCTGCTGCATCGAGCTGGGTGGGTAGGGGTTTGGACTCTACGGCTCAAGTCTTCCCATCTTCCTATTCCCCCACTTATGACTTTTCTCTCTTACCGTCCCGTTCCAGCTTTACCTTTATCCCCGTTTTCAACTCCCCAATGCATGGCCCTCCCCAAATAACTTTGCTAGGCTTTTACTTTCTAGTTTCAACTCACATGTGAACGCGGAGCGTCATTCCTGTCCTGTCGACAAGCCCACGTCCAACCAAACGGCCAAACCCAGTTCATCGACTTCCATTTGGAGCCCTCGAACATCCTTTAGATTGGCATGTCTCAATGTACGCACATTGCTACAAATCGGCCAACA